TCCCCTCTCCAGCCGATGTGGGATCTCACAATCCACCCTACTTGAGGTCCCAACGTCCTTGCTGAAACATTGCTCAGTGACTGGCTCTTATACTATTTGTAACAGCCCAAGATTTTGAAACGCATCTGTTAAGAAGAGGTTTCCACACCCTTGTAAGGAATGCTTTGTTTCCCTCTCCTGCCGATGTGGGGTCTCACTGTCCACCCCCATTAGGGGCCCAACATCCTCGCTGACACACCGCCCAGTGACTGACTCTGATACTATTTGTAACAGTCCAAGTCCACCGCTAGCAGATATTGTCCTCTTTGGGCTTTCCCTTCCGGGATTACCCTTGAGATTTTAAAACGCGTCCATTAGGGAGAGGTTTCCACACCCTTGTAAGGAATGCTTTGTTCCTCTCTCCAACCGATGTAGGATCTCACACTGTGAAATCGATCTTTCTAATGAGAAGAATATGAAAATATAACTTTCTATTAGCATAATCAAAATGCAGGAGTAGCTCACCTGAGATTTTTCAATCCCCACCAAAGACAATAGAAGTACTTGTTGAAAAATGGAGAGGTTGTGACATGGAAAGTTATCGCGTCACCATATATACCGAATTGATAAAAGGGATCATCTGGATTGCATAAAGTTTTAATGTTGCTTGTATTAAACCACGAATCCCTTTGAGGGTCATCGACCTTATGACAGTCGAAGAATCCATCGTTACAAGATTTTTCAACCGTACAAAGTCTTCTCCAACATGCTTCTTGTCGCTCGATTGAAAGAAGGTACCAGCATGCTCCTAAAACCTTTTACAGGAACAAAACAATATGAACAGTGCAACAAAGCAAGTTATTCGTTTTCATTTTAAACCCGAATTTCCACTTACATGACTTGCCAACATATAAAGAATCAAGTTATAAGCAGCTCCAGCCCATGCTGTTTGTGTCACAAGTCCAGTGGCCTTAACGATTTGTGTCGAGAGCGGAAATATGAGAAAAAGCCTTGGGAGGTACTGAAATATGAGAAAGAACCTTAGGAAGTTCTTGGTGTTCGTCATTGTCGAGCCACTAAGGTTGGGGATGACAATCCAGATCAGTACCTACAAAGGCCCAAACGCTTAAATCAACAATTCGACAACCTCATATCGATCATCAACAGAAAAGCAATCGATGGACCGACATATACCTGAGGAACTGGCACGGCTGCAATGAGATCAATCCAGAAACCATGGCGTAGATACCTTATTGCTATCTTACAAGGATCTATAACAAGCTCTCCTCTCCCAAATACACGAGAAGAAGGCGCAACATAAGCTGTACGAAACTTAACAAAAATCTGAATTGTGTAGAAAAGATCAGCTATCGATCTTATAGTTGTGAGGACAACTTCGACACCTACTCCTATATCGATGCACTCCTCGTCCCGGACCATGGGCAAGTAAAAGAAAAGAGGGTCTACAAACAACGAGACTAAACAAGCTACTAAAAATATCTTATTCCATCGCCTTATCGCTTGTCCTCTAGGATCCAATATTTTTCGTTGTACTCTCTCATAATCCTCTGAGAAAACTCTAGACAAAACCTTAGCTCTTAATGATCTTCCAGACTTCCCAGAAGATGCAGTTCTCTTGCTGCTAGAATCCGCTATTTGTGTGCCATCGATGTTGTATACGATCTTCGTCACACCGCCACCATTGATAGCGGGCAAGGTAGATGATTCAAGAGTGTCTTGGAACCTGAAAAAACATGTTGGAATCAAACATATAATAGAAAAAATTGTGTCGTCTAACTCGAGATCGAAAAGGGAACGAACCTAACGGATTTAGAACTACCAAAAGCCATAAAGATCTTCCTAAATGAAACCTTTGGCAAGTGTACTAATGGAGCTAACCTGCAACACAAGAAAACAACATTATGTTATGTGCATTCAAGGCCACATAAACTAAAGGGGACAATTTCCCATGTCTAGTGACACCATGAATCATGTGAATTACAAGATTGCAGCAAGGATGAAGCTGTAAAGCCTCTAAAACTTCATAACTCAAATGAACAAGTTGGGCATGTGAGTATTAACTATTATAATACCCTTTTCAACAAACAAAAGCTTTCCAAATAGGTTATCATAGAGAATCTCCACACCCACAAAAGATGCTGAAACAGAGATGGGGTTAACTTTACTTCTTTCAGACGCTCAAGTTCATTAAACTCGGTCCAATTTTTTAAGCCAAACCTTTCTCTTTCATTCACACACCGACAAGAGAAAGAGGGCTAAATAAGACAGCATTTCGATCAACACCCATGAAAGTTAATACTAGGTTTTGAAACATACCTGTTTTAGAACATGCAGAACAAGCCCTTTGTGTGGTTCTCGCCCAAACGGCGGCTTGAAACTCAAAATTTGAACGAAATGGAGAAATGGGCTTTGAAATGTTCAATGAAATAGACATGGGAAACGAACAGAGAGTACAAAATGGTTAGCTTTGTGGGTTGAATGCCAAGAATGACACTGAAAATTATGAAATAAAAAAATGGTTACCCAGAAGAGGCGCTTCCATGACTCTGTGAAAGAGACGGAACGAAGGAGACAGAGAATGGGTCTTTAGAAGTTTCATAAAATTGTTAAAAAAAAATATTTAAAGTAATTTTTTTTTTAAAAGGTAAAAAAGGATTTTTTTTTTTTTTTTTTTTTTTTTTTTTTTTTTTTTTTTTTTTTTTTTTTTTTTTTTTTTTTTTTCCTTTTAACACTGCAGCTGTTCTTCTGTATAGATTCTAAGGAGTTGACTTTTTATGTTCCGTCAATGAACAAGATAAACTTTTTTTTTTCTTTTTCTTTTTCCTATGTTTCTAATTAAGGTTACTATGAGGAATAAACAATGATTTAAAGTTTTAGTATGGGAGACAAGATCGCAACTTGGGCAATGTATTATACGAGGTAAATGAATATAGAATCCAACAATATTGGTTTGTGATTTGTCGTGGTGGATTTTTTAACGGGATTTAAATTTATGACTTTTAAAGCGATCGTGTATGTGACGTTATGTTCAAATTGTTCATTTCTTAGTTAACGTTTAAGAGGGGTTTGTGGTTACTCGTTCCTCGCTTATTCTGATTCTAGTAAAGAGTCTCGTATACTATTCTACACTGCATATGATATTCTCTTTAGGCACTTGCTAGCTCTTCGCTTAGCTGTATAAGGAGCATGCCCAAGAGGGTTATTATACTCACCACGCACTTGCATCACCACCCGAGCTTAGCAAACCTTTACTATTACTTTGCTTAGCTCCTATTGCTACCACGAACGTCGGAATCATCATTTGTTCGAGTTTTTGAGTAAGGATAGTATTTATAACAAAAAAAAAAATATATATATATAATTTTGACTTTATGATAAGCATCTCATTTTTAAATTTGTTATTTAATGTTTTGCGTTTAATTTTAAAAGCTAAGCAGAAAAGGGAAAGAAATTATTAAAAAAATTAATTTAATTTTGAATTAGTTAAGAATTCAAATATTTCAAAATCAAAAGGAATAAAAAAATTGCTTTACAAATGGAATAAACTAAAGAAAATAAAATAATGGTTACGTTTGCTGAAAGGAAAAAAAAGAAGAAATAGACAAAAAGAAAATGACGGTGGTGACCCTGTCAACGTAAAAGGCGCGTTTGTCTGTGAGGTAATAGTTGTTAATGGTACCCGGCCGTGATGGATAATAAGACAAACAATTAAAAAAACGCCACGGTGTCCGGCCGAACCCAATCCGATCCGACAAGACCAAATGCCAGCTCATCGATAGTAAACTAATTTAATTAAAACTCCCACAACTCACATCTTTTTCCCCCACCAAACAAGGAACATTAATTACATACCCCTTTTTCTAATTAATCACCCCCATTTACCCAAGTTGGATCACAGGTGCTCGATAATATTTCTAATTAAGCTCGAGTTGCTTAGAATTAGAAAGAGTTGAGAGGTACACATTTGAATCTCAAATTTTTTGGTCGAGTGGAATCAATTGAACTATATTCGAATGGCATAAAATCAGAAAGGGTTGAAGTAGACATTCGAATCTTTAATCAACTGAATTATGCTCGAGTTGCTGAAAACCAGAAAGGGTTTAAGTGGATATTCAAATCTTGAACTTTTTGATCGAGTCGGCTTAGAATCGAGAAGGGTTGGAAGGAGGAAAATGGAGAGGAAGAGAGAGAGAGAGATGGGGAAGTGGGAAAGATGGACTAAATATGGGGCCAAAATGTGAGATTTGAAAGGAGTGGCATTATATTGGACACCCCTTATGCGAGCATTAATAGCACACCCATTTCTTGTTGTGTTCTGGTCCGCCATTGGAATGGTTTACAGAGTGTTGTGATTTGGCAATGGGTCCAATTCCAAATTGAACTGCCAAAATCATTTACAAAGACTGTATATAATGGATTGGATTCATACTATTTCTTTGCAGTTGCTCATACCACAGAGATAGCCACCGATCATGGTTCATGTTTCCTACCCACAAAAACAATCATAGTTCTTCAAAGTATGGTGTGCTTATTTTTAGTCATATGCAAAGATTAACTCACATTGGACGGCGTAGATTGGCCTCCGAGTTTGGCACGCTCAAGATCAGGAATTGATCGTGCCCGAATGATAAACATTCCATTTATGACAATCAAACTTATAAACACTACTTTCATCAATAGATTTCTTTATTTCGTTATCCACTTTCTACAAATATTTACAAATTTTAAGACTATTAATAGCAGCATGCAGCCGGATCAGTGACCGTTGCCCATATCAAATCTCATCTTACCTTAAAATGATATCATTGTTAAGACGCAAAGACAAGCAGGAAACCACCCAAATTGTGCGTTAAGGTCCCCAAGCAATCACAAAAACGAAATATCACAAAAACCAGAGCATTGAACAAGTAGTTTCAAGTCAACCTTGCTTGTTTTGCTATGGCTACCAACTCACTATTACAAGTCAACTACGCAAATGAAAACTTCTCTCTATTTTTTTGTCTTTCCCTTGAAAAAAAATGGCTATTTTTACTTACTGAAAAATCCAAATCAACCACTATCCAAAGATACTACATGCTTTTCTTTGTCATCAAAATTGGGGGTGGAGGGGAGGTGTTGGGACTTGTCTACCGAACTAAAAGAGACCTGTTTTATTCCTCTGAAACCGTGGCGGCAGATTCCTTCAAGCATGACCGCATGATCGTCACAAGCTTACACGAAGCATCAAGACAAAGCTGCATACCCTGTGGTGGCATCACGAAAGCATCAGATACTTGCACGCCGTGTAATCAAAGAGTGTTACTTCGTTTATTTTAGTACAACAAACCAATTCATATTCTTCTGTATTCATAGTATCAAATTTTAAATAACAATATTAGACCCTGTTGTTTATAAAACCTTCTTTTGTAATTACTCTCAAAAACATCATTAATTTAGTAATTAATCATCGTCATAGTTGAAAGACGAAGTTCAAAGTTGATGTTATACCTCATTAATTTTAGCGGTTGACCATTCGCCTGTAATAGTGAGCTGAGTGACTTCGTAACGAGATGGCATACAAGTTATCATCAGACTTCCATCTTGGTAGTTTTCCTCTTCCAATGCAGGATCAATAAGAAGATTCTTGCCAAAGCAGCTCTAGTTAACAAATAAGAGTGTAATTGTATCAGAACTTCAAAAATAGTAATTCGTAAGGACCATCAGTGCTTTATAGAATCAGGAAACAAAATTGAAGGTTCTGTTTTCAAGACAGCCAAATGTCATTCTATAGCATAAAAATATCTTCCTCAATTGCAGAAAGAAGAAAATAGGCAAGGGAACACAAAGAACTACAATCTCCTACTTTTAGGATTCAATTATCAGCAACCCAAATACCTGTATACATTCAAAATTGTGTGCAATCAAAAAACTTGTTGCATGGAAATTGTATGGAAAAGAGAACGCATAATATACTTCACAAAATTAAATGCATGTTGCTAAAAGATTTTGTGAGATTCCACGTTGGTTGGAGAGGGGAACGAAACATTCTTTATTAAAGGTGTGGAAACCTCTCCTTTGTAGAGGCACTCTAAAACCTTGAGGGAAAATTTGGAAGGGAAAGCCCAAAAAAGACAATATCGGCTAGAAATGGGGTTGGGCAGTTACAAATGGTATCAAAACTAGTCATTGGACAGTGCGAGGCACTAGTCGGAGTAGGGCTAGACCCTCTCCATAGTAGATGCATTTTAAAACCGTGAGACTAACAACGGTACATAACGAGCCAAAGCAAACAATGCCTACCAGCGGTGAGCTTGAGGCCGTTACAAATGGTATCAGAGCCAAGTTCCAAACGGTGTGTTAGCGCAGATACTGGCGCCCAAGGGGGGTAGACTGTGAGGTCCCACATTGGTTGGAGAGGAACAAAACATTCCTTATAAGGGTGTGGAAACCTCTTCCTAGCAGACACGTTTTGAAACCTTGAGGAGAAGTCTAGAAGGGAAAGCCTAAAGAGTACAATATCTACTAGCAGTGGGCTTGAGATGGATATGGGATAGATAGAAATACAAAATTAATTATTGTAGAAACAGGAGAGTTAAGAATGTGCACAAGCATACCACAGAAACTGAGGCAACAAGATCATACAGCATAATCCCAGCATCGGCAAGAGCAAGACTAGCACATGATATTACAACAGGAAGATCGCCTGCAACAACAAAATAACAATGTAGACAAAAGATTTAGTTTACATAAAAAGAAAAGTATAAATTCTGAGGGTGCTGCAGAGAGCTAAGAAGAAAAATAGTCAGTTCAGGCTCCGAAGTGATTACAACAAGCATAAAATTCACATCATGAATACCTAGATATAAAAGCTATAGCTAACAAAGAGTCAAGTGACACAAAAAGAATAACCAACATTCTCCACCTAGGTTAATGGACCATCTTTTTAAAGAGAGAGACAAAAACAAGCGACTGAAATTTCCATCACGTTATGAGATTAGAACATGTACTTTTGAATCTTCTCATAAGGATCTTGGTTTTTTCTACTTCAAAATTGTATCATAACTACGTTGGTACGCCCACAAAGCTAGATTACTGGTTCATGTTTATCTACCAATCTACAGACAATTACCATCCATCTAAAACAATCCTTATACTTACTGCCTCCAGATTCCAACACCAAGGCAAATACATCCACAGTTGTCTTTGGGAATGTCTCCAATATTATTGCCCCTTCTAAAGCTTTATGTAGCATTGAGGAGAACTCCTTGTTTTCCGATCCCTAACAAAATGAAGTTGAGACAAAATGAGTTAATCAGATGACAACAGTATAAATTATATAGAACAAGAGTAGTATTCTTCACACCTGTCCACGAACTGGAGTGGAAAATGTTGTATAACTGACGCTACAATTGAGCCGGCCAATATCACTATACATCATTGCTTTCTTACTTTCTCTAGGGCCGAATCTGATGAAAAGAATGCAGAATATGAATAAAGGGGAAAGCTCTTAATTCATGCACAAAAAACTGCAAAACAGTAGCAAAATACTAAAACGATAAAAGGAAAGGAACACAAGTTTATCAAATGGGAAGACCAAGTAGAAGCGTTGGTATTCAAACTCTCATCAGCAAAGAGAAACCTAGAAATAACAGAGAGCACGATACTTGGAGTAGGAGGAAAGCTAAAACTTACACAGAAACAATGACCTTGGTGTTCCCAAACTCCGCATAAGCAGATCCTGAAGCAGCATTTACAGCACCAGTCCTAAAAACTGCAAGTAAACAATGACTTAAGTTTCAATAAAGATGGTATTTCAGTATAGATTCAACAACAAAAATGTAAAAACCACTGAGTAACATATGTTCAAAACCATCCTTTGCTGAAGTCAAGGACTTCATTATCAAGTACCAAGTGTACCGAACCATGCCTCCAAGGAAGAACCTTCCATTAAGACTTGAATGTCGAGACAACACATTTTTAACCATGCTATCAGGAAAAGGAAAAGCCATATGACCAATTACCAGGAAAATCTTCATCAATAAACTAATATGCTCAAGACTATATTCATGCTATCAGGAAAATATATCAAAAGCATACGAATACAGAACAAATTTGAATGCTTGTCTGGTCTCGCATTGTGATAGTAGAAATAAAGCCCGCGTGCTCTGTATTTAATTATTCCATAAACAAACTCCTCAAGGATAAATTAATTGAGAACGATAAGCTTAGACGAGCAGCAATTAGAAAGTGTAGTTAAGCATACATTAAATGAAACAATAGGATAGACATACAAGCAGGACGGCACTGGTGGAAGGCTCGGCCATCAGGGCGAACCCAGTCGACGTCGTCGCTCCTGAAGATGGGTGGCCTGGTTTTGTGGGTGGTAGGAGAGGGAGAATACGTCGACGTAGCTGGTGTCGCTTTTTTGGCCATTCAGAACGCCAATGACTCCGTCCGTCGATAAGTTTGAAGGTTCCGCCACAAATTTCCTGAGTTAAGGCACACAATGAAGGGCTTCACTAGAGATTTTGTTTGGAAAAACGCACAAAAAGTTCCATTTCGACAAAATAAAAAATCGTAATCCAAATCAGAATTTAGGGTTCAAAATCCAAAAAATCGCAAGTACAAGCGTCGAGATAAACGAACACAAACCCAGGATCGATCGGTCTATTCAAAGAGAGTGAAAACAGTCTCGGTGTGTGGAGGAGGCCGAGGCACCAAACATTGAGAAACTGAACCTATGAAGCGAATGAGGCGCGAGACCAGTTCTATTTTGGTTGCAAAGCTTTTTGTCTCTTTTTTCTTTTTTTCTTTTCTGTCTTTTTTCTTTAATATAAAATAATTGTTTTTTGTAATTTAACTATTGGTTTTGTTTTTTTATTATTATTTTCATTTATACATACATACATACATACACACATACATACACACACACATACATACATACATACATACATACATACATACATACATACATACATACATACATACATACGAAATAATAGTTTTCTTTGTAATTTAAAGCTCTCAGGGTGGGTTGATATTTTGTTTGTTTTGTGAATTTGATCCACCAAAAAATAGAATTGTGAAATTTGGGAGAGTATAACGAAATATTCTTGTAAAGGAGTGGAAACCTCTCCCTAGTAGACGCGTCTTAAAACCGTGAGTTTAGAGATCGTGTATTTAGGCATTGTGATGCAATCATATCACATATCAACTGGGCATGTATATTTTTAGGCTTTCAAAGTTTTTGTTTATATATTCATTTAGGGCATCCCATATTTTTAGGCTTTCAAAGTTTTTGTTTGTATATTCATTTAGGGCATCCCAAGATATGTTTTTCGATACCACTATATAGTTACACCCCGTGTGTTTGTTCAATGGATATAAAACACTCATGCTTTAGCACTTAGTATAACGGCCCCCGGTGAGGAGGTTCTACTCCGTGAAAATGCTCTTTAATGGAACTTTAACTTTAGCTGGTCATGACCAAGAAGCCACCTGTTTCGCTTGGTGGGCTGGGAATGCCGGACTTATCAATTTATATGGTAAACTACTGATGGCTCATGTAGCCCATGCCGGATTAATCATATTTTGGGTCGGAGCAATGAACCTATTCAAAGTGGCTCATTTCGTACTTAGAATAATATTTACTAGTATGCTGACCAACCAAAAAAATAGAGTTACACTACAACCCAATTCAAAAATAGAGTTTTGGATTAAGTTGTGTGGTGAATTTTATCCGAATTGCTTATCTAATTGACCCAAATTTGATTTGGTCTAAAAGATTCTCCGAACTTCGGAAAAAGGCACAAATGGCTTACATATAAACTTGCTATCCATAATTAAGATTAAGATGAAGATGAACTAAACCTCCGATGAGAATTTAAACTTTCTTTTTCTTGCGTTCTTACTTTCGAGAAGCAAAAATTACAGAACTAAATGAATATAAACCATTTTTATCTGGCAGATGTCAGAAACAGAAACAAGCTTGGACACGAATTTCTATATAGATTTGGCCTAACCATCACTGTACATGATCAAAACACTATATATGATACAGCGGTAGAAGACACGGCTGTTACAAAGCACCACCCAGTTTTTCCCTTTCCTCTTGTTTTTAATGCAGGTTGAAGGGGTAAGCCGAGGAACAAATTTGGGATGTGAGCCTATGGTCATTCTGTGGGGTCTATTTTGAGAAAGTACTAAAGAAAACTGTGAGATGTGAGACTCTGATCCTCTTTTAACATGATCCACTCACTAGCTTTAGACTGTCTCTTATGAGGGAGATTTATTAACATTCACAATGCAGAATGACTCGAGCCAAGGCTCAGTCAAGTCTACTGTTTCATCATCCGAGGCTTGGACTTGGAGATTATTGCCCTCAGAAGTCGAGGGGGGTACAGGTCTTTCGATGCACTCGAAAGAAACAACATCTTGGTTGCCATAGTTGCCAGCACAAAGTGAACGATCAATATCCAATGGTAATGAATGGCGATCGAGCCATTTGCGGGATGAAGCTTGCCTTGTCGTCATGTCATCAATGGGAGTCACCTCTGTATGGACTTGTTTCCCTATAGGATTCGTTTCGTCCCTTACATTGTCTCGTACACTTTCCTCACAACAGGCTGACAACCTCCCCTGTATATATCAAACAACAAAAGAAAAAAAGTCAAACACTCAACTGATGTGTAAGGAACAGGTAAAATCCTTGTTGCATTACAGAGTTGCCCATCAATAATAGAAGCCTTCTGATTAAACACAACAAAAAGTCATACAAAAGATTAAACTGTTTTAATGGGTAGGACATCTAAAAGACAAACTTAGAAGCCATTGGACATGCTCCATTATGCTCAAACTTCATCTCATCCAAAGACTAAGCTAGATGTTAAGTTTGCAAGTGTGAGATCCCAGGGGAACGAAGCATTCTTTGCAAGGGTGTGGCAACCTCTCTCTAGCAGACACGTCTTAAAACTTTGAGGGGAAGCCCGAAAGGGAAAGCCCAGAGAGGAAAATATCTGCTAGCAGTGGGCTTGGGCCATTACAAATGGTATCAAAGCCAGATATCGGGCGATTTGCCAGTAAGGAGACTAAACCTGAAGGGAGGTGGACACGAGGTGGTGTGCCAGCAAGGACGCTGAACCCCAAAGGGGTGTATGTGGACTGGGGGGTCTCACATTGATTGGGGGAGAATGTGGGAGGGAAAGAGTGCCAATGAGAACACTAGGCCTAGAAAGGGGGTGAATTGTGAGATCTCAACAGGAGAACGAAACATTATTTATAAGGTGTGGAAAAGGTTTATAACTGTTAGCAATTAAAGAATGGCCAACTTAATATGTCCAGATGGTTCATAAATTCCCGCGACAGAGAGTTATAGCGGCACAAGCAATCAGTACCCGTCAACAAAAGAAACAATAATCGATGCAAAGTCAAAGATACTAACATGACTTACCTGAAAAACGTTTGCAGAAATGTTATTCCTTCTTGATTTTTCTGGAGCTATGTTTGAAAGTACTTGAACAACTTCAGTCATGGTGGGTCTAGCATCAGGGTCCAACAGCAAGCACTCTTTTGCTAAATAAGCCATTATTTGCATCTCTTCCTCCGGGAACAGTCCATCTAAATGCGGATCAGGCAACTCGGTAATGACTCGCCTACTATTTTGCAATCGGGGCGCAGCCTAGGAAAGGATAAAAAAGTATTCTGATCTGCATTAGTAACTGATTCCAAGGTAACCTATCAAGCATACAAATATTTCTTTCCGGAGTAATAGGTAAACGATGATTGAACTGCATACTTAAGAAAGCCAATCTTGTTATCAATCAGATATACCAGTAATGAACAAAACTTTCAGAAGTTGGGGATCAGTTACTGATGAGAGTCATATGATTTTTTAGAGTTAGCAAAATGATAGAGTTTATTATACCCAGATTGCAAGGCTTTCCTCTCCTTTGCTTGCTGATTTATGGATGGGATGCTGACCCGTTATAAGCTCGAGAAGAACTACTCCAAAACTAAAGACATCTGACTTCAAAGAGGCTTTTCCAACAATTGCATACTCCGGTGCAAAATACCCAAAAGTCCCCTGCATTCTTGCAGGAGAACTGGAACAGCTAGGAAGATCATCACCTCTTAACCTTGTGGCCATACCAAGGTCTGTTATCTGTACATGCATATGAGAAAATTTGGATTACTTATTTTGAACTGAAAAATATAAGTAATACTTACAAGCTTCAACCAAAATATATAAATCTACAGATCAAATTGGTTATGAGAATTAAGTTGTAACAACAGCATATCTTATCATCAAAAGGCAGGCAGTTCATGTTATGGAATGTAATTACAGCTTACTTTTGCTCTCCAATCTTTATCCAAAAGAATATTTGTTGACTTGACATCCCTATGCAAAATTCTGGGAGCAGCTGCTTCATGAAGATACTCCAAGCCTCTTGCAGCTCCTAAAGCAATTGTAACACGAGTACTCCAATCCAGTTTTTCCCCTGAAGCTGCATCCAAACAGTCTCTTAAATTACCCTTTGGCATGTATTCATATACCAAAAGCCTTTCAGTATGTTTCCCCCTTGATTCTGTGCAATAACCAAGTAGAGGCACCACGTGACAATGATGAAGCCTTGATAACAATTGAATCTGAACGGTAAAATATGGAAGAATATATAAGATAAGAATATTATTCTGCTAAAGATACAAGGAAAAAATGTGTCAAGTGATTATAAAGGAATCGGTGGAGCTCATACTTCTGTTAAGAACAAGTAGTCCACATCCGGTCCTCCTTGAATATTGAGCCGCTTTACTGCCACTGTTCTACTGTCCTTCAACTCACCACGATAAACAAAACTACTTCCTCCACGTCCAACAAGATGGGAGCTTGAAAACTTATTTGTGGCATTTTCCAACTCCGAGTATGAGAATTGGATGATTATCCCACACAGACTCCTAGATTTTGTCCTCAACAAGCATTGGTTCATGAAAAAGCATCCTGTAAAATGATAAGCCTATCAGCTAAGTAACAATCTTAGGCATATGATTGCAACTTCGATATGCTCAAGAAGGAATCCATAGATGCAAACTCAAAAAAAAATTGAAAAGCCCAGTAAAACTAGCACACCTTTGATGTTATTCACAGGGGAACCCATCATAACCTTACTATCTGGTGGTGAAGAACTCTTGTGACTAATTAAGTTGGTCAAGCTGTTGTAGCTCATTAGCTTTTCTAACGAAAATATTGGAGTTTGAGCACGGCACTTGTCCCTTCGACAAAGATAGCAAACCACTAAGATGAAGAATGCTAATGTTATGATTATTACACATAGTGAGAGAATAATCACAACCACATTGCTCGAAATATGCCTTTTAGAAGATGGTGACTCCGGAGGCAGTCCTGTAAAGAAGCAATGAAAATGTTATCCAAGGAAGATTTAGCATGTCTTTATCAGTAATAGAACTTCATAGTCATTTACATTACCCACATGCCACTCAAATGTAAAAGCGAATTTAACATTCAGATCCAGCATAGAAATAGTGGAACAGACCAGGATAAAACATAACAAATTCACATTCAAATCCACAGCTTTTGAGAAGCTTAAATAGCTGCCAAATTTCATAATTAAACAATAAACAATCAACAACCACAAAATTGTGGTGGACGCACAAGCAAGTACCTAAAGCAGTATAAGAAAAATCAGTAAGTCATGTTAAATCATTGAAGGCATTTTAGCAAATAGAATTCAATAATTAAAAGAATTCCTGACAACAATCTAAATAGAATTCAATAACTGCGGAACATTATTAAACGATTTTTGCTATATATATCAATTAAGAAAAATAGTTTATACCCATTCATATAAAATCATGCTTAATTGACATTTCTGAAATTGGCTCTACTCTTTATTGGTGAATCAATGACACAAGAAGACAAACTACTGAGATAAACAGGCACTAAAAATAATCAACAACGAAGTGAGAGATTGATGCGTACCAGAAGAGCAGTTGCAGGAGGTAAAACAGTCAGAATCACGGGGATTGGCTGCAACTTTTGGGAAGCCATCGGTTACACATATGCATGTCCACATTCCAATTACCCCAACATCTAAATTAAGGGGCTAATGTAATTAGTATGTCACGTAACTCAATAATGCACTCCCAAAAACCAAAGCAAAAATGAAAAGAAAATTCATATATGAATGACTGCGACCATCTTATTTCTCGTGCAGAGCTTCTGAAAGAATATCTGATGCATATACAATCTTTATAATCTCAAATGTAACTGCATCATTGTAAAAATAGTAAATACTTTCCACCAATGTTTTTGGATGATGTGATGCTAAAAACTAAGTTTCAATATAAACAAGGCAATACTAAAGATGATATGCTGATTGACAGAATGAGGAGAATTCAGATGATGCTCAACCTTAAAAGAAGTCCAAAGAGGTCATAGCTTTTTCAACATTGTTATAGCAACAAATGATGATATTTCAAGTATTCAGGATGACTAGAACATTTAAGGATGCTGGTTGTACCTTGCGTACATGAACAAGATGTAGAACAGTTTGCACCAAGTGTTAATTTCTGATTTTCTTGGTATGGAGAAAAACATCTACACGTCCAGTTGCCAGGGGTGGACGTATCGTAAGTGTCAGCTGACACCAAAACATAAACATAGAGTAAGCCTGAGAGTATCTACGAGGAAGTTTAACCCAAAAATTAATGAAACATGGACCAACACATAAGAGGCAAAGTTTAGTAAAATATATTGCTCCGGATATACTGACCACAAAAGGCTTGTTGCATCAAGATAAAGCTTATTAAAGAGATAATGGTGGTTGCCACTTCGCGCTTCATTGTATCTGAGTTAAAGAAGAAAACAATACTGGTAAATATAATTTGGGAAAAATAGATAATTTAAGAAAAAATACAATAGCAGGTTAGAATTTGACTAGCTCATGAGTTGATCAACAAACAGTTAAAATTTTCCAGACATTTAAACGAACACACTGTATATTTAAGCATGATATATATGAGAAAAGTAAGATTGTATTGAATTTTTTATTTTCCAAACATAATTTTACAATGATTTATGAAAACCCACGGTGACTACTAACTGTTTAAACATTTATTCAGATAAACCAAACCGGAAAGTAACCCCCAAAATCTTACTTAAGTACACATAAATGTCTGATTACAGAACATGTGGAACCAGGAAACAAAATTGTTTTAACTTCCAATTCAAGTCACGTCAAAAACTAGGACACCCAGCCAGGCATATGAACCGCCCGTAACTGATGGCCCCCTCCATCATTAATCCCCCCAACAGAACATTTAAAGTTTGATAAAAACAAGGGAAACATTTAAGACAACTACCTATCTTTAAATCTTCGCAATAATGTACCTGCTTTATTGAGATCGTTCAGAACAACCCAAGTAAGGAAAGAATTAAGCATTTAACCAGAAACAGACAATCTTCACTGGTCTAATCAAATAACAAAGCTAATTGAGCACCCACGAGTATGGAAGAGCTTATGATCGATAATTTAAGCTCCAATTCAAGCATTAATACCACATTAAGAAAAGTAAGAAAAATGAGACATACCCAGATAATAAAAACAGTGGATTGGGCACGCCAACTACAATTTACAAAAAAAAAAAAAAAAAAAAAAAAAAAATGGGTGGAAGATGAAGAGAAAAACTGGCAAGGAAGAAAAGGTACATGACAGAAAAGGAATTGTGGTGGACAGAGACCGCTAATGGTTCGGATATATTCTGAATGGGAATCAGGCTGAAAACAGAACAGAACCCATCGACTACCACTCAGAAAGTGACCCATCTGCGAATCCGAAAGGGACTGCTCAACATACAACAAATAACAAGTTACTACTCTCATACTGTCTTACCTTCTGACATTGTTTATATTCTACTTTTTCGAAAACACCATCTCTACCAACGGATAAAACCCATCTTTAAAAGGGAAAAAAACAGGAGCCAAATGAACAACGGCTGTAGATTACCAAACTTGGCTTCGAAGACATGCAAAAATTGGAGGAGTTTGCAAAGCGAAATATAAAGTCGAGTTTCAACGTTTATCCCAGAACTAAAAGAAAAAAAAAAAGGTGAAAACATAATTGAAGAGAAAAATAAATAAATCATAGCCTCGAATTTCAAGGGGACCCGATAATGAGTCCCACATCCCCACCAACCTTGTGTCGGCTATGTAGACCGCCAAATTGTGGACCCTCGCTTCTGATCAGAATAATCTGGTGCGTACAAACAATGGACGTTTAGATAGCGCCAAAGTATGGCTCAAGAAGGAGAATCCAGCTTCATCTAGCCAAGTAACGGTCAAGTGAAGCTGCGTCGTGAACAGAAATCATATAAGCCCCATTCCAGATCGACAAACAGTAAAGTTTCTGCTTACCAAGCAAATTAATAGACTCTGCCTAAGATTGCGTAGCTCTAAACTATAAGCCGGAGTATGCTATTGCTCCTGAGGAAGCCATAATACCCACCAAGAAGAAGCTCTATGATCTTCGGTAATAAACTTATTACAAGGTTCCACTTCTGCAATCAAGCTACAGGAATACCAAAATTACAGGAACGTTAGAGAAACAAAACGAGAATCAATGAAGAAGACAGCGATCACTTGACAAAGGAAATTTCATTTGAAGCGCATTACAAAAACAAGATGGAAGGTTCGAATCGGAATACAATAAACTAAAATCAGAGTAAATAAGATCGAAGGAGAATTACTTGATACAAAGAAGCCTCGGACGTCCGAGAGTGAGGAAGCGGGAGAGCCTCTGAGAGTTTGAGAGAAAATCGAAAGGAGGCGCCAACAGGAGGAGCGGAAGCCAATGAAGGGGTCTGAAATATAATGTGGGGCCTGTTTCTTTTCTTTTCTTTTCTATTTATTTTTTTCGATTTTTTTTATTTATATATGCTATGGTGGTCCCCAGATTCGTCGGCTAGATGTCACGTGGCAGAACGGGCCTATTCACATTTGTTAGAAACTCGAGGCGGCTTCGATTGGGTAAATAATCATATACATATATATATTATAAATTTGCTTTATTTATTTATTTATTTATTTAAGAAAATAATTTTATATTGAATATATTTATATTTAACTAATTAATTAGAATCATTTTTTTAATAAATAAAATCCTTACTATCATTAAAGTAAATGATTTAATTGTGTACCGCACCCAACTTTATGACTAAAAATATTTAATTCTATTTTATTTTAATCTCATAAATTTTCCATAAATTGCATTTTTAGAAATATATATTTAATATTAGTTTAGCCGACAATAATAGGAATAGACTTGCTTTACGAAATTGGAGAGAGGAAGGAAAAAAAAAAAGAAAAAGAAAAAGAAAAAGGAAGGAAAAATATAAAGAAAAAGAATAAAAAGAGAAAGAAAATGCTAAATTATAATCATCTTTAACTTTATAATAAGATTTAATTTTATATTTAAATTTAAAAAAAACCATTTTACTTTAAACTTTAAATTTGTTTTAGACTGACAAAAACATAACGAGTAAATGATATGATAATTATATCGGTAAATTTTAGATTGAATTTTTATTATCGATTGATTTTAACCATTTAAATTGTTGTTAAATCACATTTAAAGAGAAGAGAATGGTAACGAGTCAGACAAATGTAACGAGGGGCTGTCACAAAATAATAATTTTACTTGGGGGGCGCCACAAATTTCTTAATAATTCGAACCATATTACAGAATATATATATATATATATATAATATTTATATACAAAAGCAGCCCCCACCCCCAGGCATCAAACGGGGCCAACATCGATGTAAGGTAGCTATATACTGCACACTTTTGTATAGGAAGGCTCCTGTAACGCAGCGTCACCCTGCCATGGCTTTCGCTTTCTTTTCAGAGCCAAATAACATTCCCCGCCCATGTGAATCAAAAGGGTTCTATCAAATCAAATCAAATAAATCAAATAATAGTAATCTACTTAGAACCATGAAGAACAGATCAATCAACCATTGGAATTGCAGGGCCATTTGAGCTTCAACACAGCTTCTGCTTATCAGCCACTACATGTTACCCCGGCGGCGGCGGCGACGGCAGTGGCTGTGGTGATCTGACTGGGAAGGAATGAGCGGGACGAAGCGTTCTTTGAGACGGAGGCGCCCCTAATATCAGTGTCTGAGAACGAGACACCATATCCATCATTGATGGCGTTTGATAACTCTGCACTGCGCTTCCCATGTCTACTGAATTCCCTCTTGCGGTTGCTCTTTGCCATGAATGCGAGCTCAATCCTGACAGCACGTAAGCTCTTCCAGACGCCTCGTAGATACGGCGACTCGCCATTCTGTCTTGCATTTCCTTCAGTTCAGCGCAAAGAGAGGCACATAATTGGTCACCAGCTCGAGCAGATGCTGATTCAGACACCATTCTGTTACAATTGTCCAACATAGACACTGCACCGGATAAATCACCTCGCTCAGCAGCAACTCGGGCTTCCGACATCGCCTCTGCCGCTCGAAATCTATTTCGTTGCCTGTCTACTTCCAATGACACTACTTGTTCGCCTACTACTCTGTCTGGCCTCTGTATTTGAACCTCGCTTTCACCAGCCAAAGTGATTGTCTCCTTGGTAATGGGGTGCTTGTAAACGCTTTTAACTTTTAGCAATGGCATGTCCCCTCCGAACTCATGAACTGGAATGTTGAGTGTCACCAGAAAGTCCCTTTCTTCTTCAGCATACAAGTCTCCGAAGTATATGGAGCCTAATCTTGCACGTTCTGTGATGCTGGCTTGGTAGCTTCCTGCTTTTATTGAACCAAGCTGCAGACTTGGGTGAATGCATCTAACTTCCACTTGCAAATCCTGCACCACCACGCTCAAGAGGCCACCAATGCACTGAGCGAATGCATCCTGGATCGTGATTTCGGTTTCTATGAACGAAAATGTGCCACCAGATGCATCAGATATCGTGTGCATCGTCACAGCGTCGTGGTCAGCGCCGAACCCGAACGTATGCACCGGAATCTGCTGCATTTCAGATTGGTTATTGCAATCGATTGAAACCGGGAGGAGGGACTGATAACCTATTTGAGGACGAGCACTGCTAGGACCATTAAAAGTATACGTATCCTGTCCATCAGACAGCAGTATAATACTAGCAACAGGGTTCTTCAACTTGCGGTCTACCAACACCTTGGCACCTTTCCTCAAGCCTTCAGCAATGTTTGTCCCACCATTTGATGTTAGAGCATTAACAGCCTGCAATGCCTGCTGTCGTCCAGAGTCAGTCATTCGACAAAGCGGGAAAAGGCGACGAGCGGTCGAGGAGAATGATATGACAGAAAGTCGATCGGAAGGGCCAAGATTCTGGATCACAAACCCCATAGCACGTTTGAGCAGGCCAAGCTTAGTACCTGCCATACTGCCGCTAACATCAAGCACCGTTACAAGGTCAACCGGTGCACGAGAAGGTTGATTCAACGAAGGCAATGCAGCCTGGATTCTGGAGTTATTCTGTGTTGCAATGGAGAGAGGAGCCTTGACATGGACTAGCACAGAGAAGTGGTCATGAGAAACTGATCTTGGAACAGCTGAAACTTCTGGGTACGTTTTGACCTCTAATTTATCAGTGCAGCCATGAACACTGGCAGCATCATTTAATGTGTTTCTCTCGGTGGCATGAGGTTGTAGATCCAAAACTTCATCATCATCATAAGATGCTGGCTCAGGGGCATGAAAAAGCGAGGCGATCTGCCTAGTTGTATTGGTGCGAGGAGGAGGCATCCGTTGAACAATGGTCATCCATGGATCGTCTGGGGAGAACCCAACCGAGTTGGTTCTCGGCCTAGAACAATCAGAATTGGTATTCTGGAAAGGGATTTCTTTCCACTTCGCTCTGCAAATGGGGCAAACTTGGTTCCCATGCTTTACATTTGAGGTAATGCATTGGAAGTGGAAAGAGTGAGCGCACTCTGCAGTGAAGATAGCAGCCCCATTCCCTGCTTTCATGGTGGTCAAGCATATTGCACAGGTCCTCTATGATTTAGAACAAAGATGCATTGATGAGAAAGAATCTAAATGAATATTATATCAAATGAGCAATTCCAGATTCAAATAGTTTCCATAACTAACACAGAAATACTTCATAATATGATCACTTTTTCCATGAGTCATTAAAGCTTAATACTTTACATGTAAGAGCTCAAGTCCACCACTAGTAGATATCATCCGCTTTGGCCCGTTACGTATCATCGTCAGTCTTACGGGTTTAAAACATGTCAGTTAAGGAGAGGTTTCCACACCCTTATAAAGGGTGCTTTGTTCCTCTCTCCAACCAATGTGGGGTCTCACAATCCACCCTCCTTGGGGACCTAGCGTTCTCGCTGGCACACCGCTCGATGTCTGACTCTGATGCTATTTGTAATAGCTCAAGTCCACCGCTAGCAGATATTGTCTGCTTTGGCCTATTACGTGTCATCGCCAGCCTCACAATTTTAAAACACGTCTATTAGGGAGAGGTTTTCACACCCTTATATAGAATGTTTCGTTCTCCTCTCCAACCACTATGGGATCTCAAAATCCACCCCCTTGAGAGCCCAGAGTCCTCGCTAGCACGCTACTCAGTGTCTGGCTCTAATACCATTTGTAACAACTTAAGTCCACCACTAATAGATATTGTCCGTTTTGGTCCGTTAAATATCGTCATCAACCTCACAATTTTAAAATGCGTCTACTAGGGAGAGGTTTCCACACCCTTATAAGGAATGTTTCGTTCTCTTCTCAAATCGATGTGGAATCTCATAGTGCTACCGTTCCGATCTTTCCAAAAGAAAGATGGAGAAACAATATGACATTTTTAAAACAGGAAATCATGAGTTGTTTGTGTTTTCCGATGAAGTTTGTTTTCCTTTTCCAATCCCTTCCCCATCCCCACAACTTCTCTTTTCCCCCTCTTTCTTAGACCAATTGTCACTTAACAATTAGCTAAGCTGACCACAGAAAATCTCAAAATCAACAATGGTCAAATGGGTTCTCTAAAAACACGCCATGAAAAGGGGAAGCATTGGGCTCACCAACAACAAAAGCACTTCCATGGAGGGAATCGCTGAATCCAAAATATTATCATCAATCAAATCTTACTTTTTCCCTTTTCATGAGAGAGAGAATTCAACATAGTACTTTTTAAGTTTATCAAATGATCAAAGGTTCTTGCATCTAAGAACAGCCCCACCAACCACACCCCCACTTGATCAAACGTTAAAAGATAGCGAAAGAAAGAAAGAAAAGATCATAACATAAACAGTCAGAAACAGAACCCGACAAGAAATAGCCTTCTTGACAAATCAAAATCAAGTTCTAATAAATCCAATCACTGCAGGAACACTGTACCCCACACGAATTACAAAAGAGGGTAAAATATTTAAAAGGGATAAGACCAGAAAACACCGATACCCTTCTTCCATCGAGAGTTGAAACATTATGGCAGTGTTGAAAACAAAATCATTATCTAATCAGAATCACAGAAACACGTTGTAAATTTACTTTTAATCTAGTAATTGAAACGATCACTACGAACCCAATAGTAGAGATTCAATAAATAAATAAATAAATAAAAACAAGCAGATTAATGAACCCAGAACACACAAAACAGGGAAATCAAATTGAAATAGCAAATGAGAAAGAGAGAGACCTTAGAAGATCTTGAGCCAGTTTTGGAAACGCGGGGACTAGCCAACGAATGGGTTGGCGTGGATTGGCGGCAATTTGAACTCCGACCCATTGGAGAAACAGATTCAGAGGATCTGGGGGCAAGCGAATTCGACGGCATCGAATCCCCAGCAACACGAGGAACATGA